TAACAGAGCTGTCAGGGGATCTCGGAGTTTGGCGGCCCCCTGAGGTGATGTGTCCTTGTGGATCTCATCAGCCCGCCCCCAAACGCATGGGTGAAAAAGGTTATCAAAACTCACTAGGAACATGAGTAAAGTGCTTGCCAAACGTACAACTAAAATTACAACCCTTGGTTAAAAGATTGCGGAGTGAAGAGAACATTGTTCTGCTGAGACTCAACCCTTGACCTAGAGATTTACCCGCAGCACAGACGAGTAACATCTCCTGTGGGTGGTGCTTCGCAGCAAAACTCTACCCATGTACATCCTCCGTTAACCCTCAGTGTCGTCGTCACCGCGCTGAGGTACACCACGATAGCAACAGCCCATTGGCTGGCTAAGCCTAAATGTCCGACAAAACTAGATCCTACGGCGCACGAGTAAACTCAAAATCCGACCATCACAAATCGTATTAAATGGGGAAAAGTCCAAATGTCCACACCCAAAGACCCCACTCGCCCTAGTGTTGGGACCAAACAGATAACGATATGCCTGACGCAAAATGTTAAATTCTGTCGGGCTAACGGCTCGTCAAAGATATCTAACGTGCGAAGAAAAAGAATGTACCTATTCGTGTGGTCACAAAAGTCCAGAACCCGCGAGCTGCTCCCCGCTGATTTCCGGAGGGGGCAGCCCTTGTCGAGCGGGAGGCCTAATACGGTTGTGAGGTTAAGCAGGCATGTTCAGGACGTGACGATTCCTTGGGTGAGCCCAGAACCAGAGCGTCATATGCCGGCTCTGCATACATGGAAGCCTCCTTGGATGGCGGGTAATGCCCATGATCTGCCCCTGCCTTCCCTTGAGGGCTAACCGTTCCACAAAGGGCTGCCATAAAGGGTTACCTGCGGAGAAGGCGACAAAGAGGACACCACACAAATCAGGCAACGTCCCGACCCACACAAAACAATGGCCACAGTCATCCTAGAAATAGGCCTGACGTCTTCATCTCGAAGTCAGAGTACATCTGTTCACGAGGCAGGGAACAGCAAAACGGTTGTTCAAGCAAAACTCAAGTAAAAGCCAAAAGTCCAAGCGGACGATTCACCGGGACATTCCGCCGGAATTCACAGCCGGTGAACGAAGAAGAAGAAGAAGAAATTTTTTCTTTATTTCTTATTTTCATTGAAGAATCTTTTTTCTAAGGGGAAAGCAAACGAAATCGTCTGCTGAAGGTGCTCGAAATTCAACTAAGCAAATTTCCATTCAGCGTAAAGTTTCTAGTTTTCTTTTTTGTTGTTAAATTTTTTTTGGGTCTACTTTTTGTTTAAAACTTTCATTTTACTTCACCCCATCTTGGGGAATCCGAGAGTTCTCGGGAAAGTCCAATATTATAGGGCTGGGGTGGGGGAGGGGGGGGGGTTAGGTTAAAGTTAGTGGATGTTCATTTCACACAGTAACACCCCTATAATATTAGACGTTCCCCTGGACCTTTTCTGATTTCCCAAGATTGAAAAAAGGGAGGGGTGTGGGGGACAATAAAATATTTTGGCTCTCCTCCGAACTTCTACCCCTGCATTATTGCGGCCTGAAATATCCGTTCTGGGCGTAGTCCAATAAAAAATACGGACTTGTCGGAGTTCCCGCCAAGGAACGAATTGCGGCAAAACTAGGAGTACCTTACAATGCCACGAGACGCAACATTGCCGACGATAGTAGCAGACGATAATAAAAGCGACCGGTGACAATGTCGAGCGTTTTCTGCAGACGATAAAAGCGACCGTTGACAATTTCGAGACATTACAGACGATGAAAGCGATATGGCGGGTAAACCACGCGCTCCCATGCAGATTAGCAATACTGTTCTTCCGATTGAGGATTTAGCAGAGGTAGATGTCAGACTTGTCGGCAAGCGCAAAACGCGATTAAACTCACTGCCGAGCGTATCCCCCGCACCGCTACGCGCGGCGCGGATGGGGAGCTAAACTAGGTGCCTGGGACTCACGAGCAAAGTAATTGGAGGAAGTTGCAGGAGATGCCGTAGCTGTCGCTCGTGAGTCCCAGCCATCTAGTTTCGGGGATACGGGCGGCGGTGAGGCATAGTCACAGAAACTGGTCCGCAAGTAACATATCGCTGTGAGTCTGTTAGAGCATGTGTTTCGTTTTTCCAAGCCGATTCTAGATTTGCCGCGATTTATTTGTCGGCAGAAAGTTCGACAATGGAAAGTGTCAACGGTCGCTATTATCGTCGTCTGCTACTATCATCTGCAGTGTTTCGTCTCTTAGAATTGTCAGGTAATCAGAAACAATAAGAAACAGGTCCGCAAGTAACACATCGCCGAGACCCTGATAGAGCATTTGTTTCGTTATACGGAGCCGGCATATTTTTTATTGGACTGCGCCCCGAACGGATATTTCAGGCCGCAATACTGCGGGAGTAGAAGTTCGGAGGAGAGCCATATTTTTTAACTGCCAATTATAACTTATGATTGAATATTTATAACTTAATCTTCATTTTAGTTTGTTTTATTTATATTCCTGGCACAAGGGGGTACCCATAAGTGCTAACCTATGTTCTACTTCTAACTCAAGCCTGAGTCCGAAGAATCTCAGGGTAGTGCACGAACTCTGAAGCACCGGCGAGGATCCTGAAATACTTTAGATAGACTTTTAACTCAAAATTTTGCATGGGTAGCTGCCAAGGTATTGTTTACGTGCGCAAGAACACACGGGCATCCGATCTTCCTACCCAAAGACCAGGGGAAATTACTAGAAGTCCACGTGAAAAAATATCAGCCTGAACCTGGGACTGCCAGCACTCGAGGTGGACGCCACGCCTCGAGACCTCGCAGCCCATTGAGCACGGTTCGTTCGTTGGAAGAAAACAAAAAAGATAAGCTTTGTCCTTTTTTAACCGCCTGATGGCCTGTTTTATCAAGGACTGGTTATTTGCTATCTGAGCTTTCTTTTGAGCACGGTTTGTTTGTTGTTTTGTTTTAGTATCCAGAAGCCATGAGTTGTTAACCCTTAGGCTCGGTATTATGGATATCGCAACCTTTCGGCCTTGATTCCATTGTAAATACCGTAAATCTGGGAGAAAATGTGGCTTTCCTGCCTACCTCCGGGATTGAACCCGGACCACAAGGAGTACGTCACCCGGTCTCCGCGAAATCCGGTTTAGCCAATTCCGCTAGAGAGCCGGGCTAGCACGGTTTGGTAACCGCTGCCCTTTATTGTATCCAGCTATCCGGATCTGGGCTCCGCGTTTACTTTTGTAAAAATATGTATCTGTCATTCAGGACTGGGAAATTGTCCGAGTATTTCAAAGGTGAACAATTGTTTCACTTTCTGCAAGATAGTATCAGTTTTTTTTTTTTTTTGAACAAGAACCAGGAAAAGGCGCAGGCTAACTTTAAGGGAGCTCAGGTGACTGGTACAATTAGTTGTGAACCAAGTTTGTATCATCCTTGCCAGCGCTACTAATCTACTATCAGTATTAATTAGACACTTTCTGGTAGGTGCCGCGTTTTTTTTAAATTCAAAGCCTTCGGACGCACCAATTAGCTATTGTTATTAATATTATTACATTGTTTTAGATTAGTGAAACTTGGTATTTATTTATTATGCGGGTATTTATTGGAGTTAATTGTTAACAATAAAAGCTACAACTTACAGAAGTTGAAGATGTTTTTTTTTTTTAATTTCTGTGCTGTACTGTTACAACTTTAAAATTTATTATTGATCATACTTTCCCCCCAGGCATTTGACACACAGTGATAGCCATTTATTTTTCATTTAACCTTTTGCTACAAGTTGTTGTTTTGTATCACTGTGAACTAGAAATCATTCATTCCTTTTTATTTTTTAGAAGAATAACTGATTTGCTTTTAGCATCTGCCTCCTAACATAGAAAGAGATTTGAAAAAAAAAAAACGAAAAAAACTTTGTGGATCAAACCAAACATAGATACTCAATGCCTAGGATAGCAAGATTAAAACAAATAATTTCAACGAAGCTAGTTAGTTTTTTTTAGCCCCAGTTAATTATTGTGTAATACTTATAAACTACAAGCATTTATTAACCGGCAATGGTAAAAGTAGAAGGAATTAAATTATATGTTAGAATCACCAATATCGAGCTTTGAGAGAGAGCTAAACAAACTGCAGTGAATGAAGAGGTGAAAAAAAAAAAGACACTTGTTGAATTTGACAAATGTTGAGAAAACCTGAACACAGTATAATTAGAAAGGCTTTACACTGAAACCCACATTGGTATATAAATAAAAGTACAGCAAACAACACATGGAGAAGCAAATTTGATAGTGAAGTTACAAAAAAATGTGATAGTGAAGGATAGTATGACTTTGCTCTAGTGCAAGATAAAGTGTAGGACAAAAAAAGAAAAAATGAAATGTTACAATTTACCCAGTAAATTTTAGTTTTTATTATTATATTAACCCTACTTCTAGAGAATTATTTCTTCCAGCACAATACACTCAGGCTGTTGTATTAACTGCTTCAGCCTCAGAGACATGCTGTTGTAACTTTTGCTCAGACATATATTTCTGTGAAATAACAGTTATTTGGAACAAAAAGGGTTAAAGAATGAACTGTTTAAGACAAAGGAAGTGTCAGTTGTTACTACAGCTGTAGGTATTGATGTAATAAGATACTGAAAACTGATGTAAAAACCAGCTGAAATATGGAAATAGGATTTATATAGCTCTTAAGAAAATCTTTGTCACCTCAACTGACAAAGAAAGATGGAATAGAATATTTGTTTTGTGAAATCCTGCTTAACTCTTTGAGTCCAAAGGAACGCATCATACGTTCATGGGTTCCCGCAAAGAGGCCCAATGAACGCAAGATGCGCCGATTTTACATCTCTTTTGACTACCGCTTGGGCCTCTGATGCTAAACCCTATGGGACTCAAAGAGTTAATCTGTAGTTAAGTTTATGATGCTTGGCTATAGCCATTTGTAAAACTAAAATGTTAGGATTAAAATTATTTTTGCAGAATAACTACAATAATGGCAGCAAAACTCCCAAAGCACATGCAGGATGAAATCTGGATGATTATGCATATGGTGGCTGAACTTGGAGCACATCCAGAGGCAAAGAAATGTAGTTTGAGATTTATGTACACTTTACAAGCATTAGTTATGTTTGAAAATTTAGCTCTTGGTTAGTTGCCCTATGTGGGTTCCGGGGCCCTGTTAAAGGGAAAACAAGAATAGACCCACTGCCTGCCCAAAAGCATGTCATAAGAGTCGACTAATTGGGGATCTACCTTCGGAGTCCAGAGTACATCTGCCTGAGAGGCAAGGAACCATCAGACTGCTTGCAAATGAGTAGACCTGTGAAATGAATGTGCACACAATACTCAGTTTCTGGAACAGGACTAAAGTCCAGAAGTGGCCGAACAACCAGCATTTTCCACCACAGTTTACAGCTGATAAATGCGAAGAAGAAGAATTGCCTTAATCAGTTTTCTAATAATCAGATCTTTTTTTTTTTTGTTGAAATCATCATCATCACCAAATGATGTGCATATGAAAGCATAGGCTGTCATGTTTCATCATCTTACACAATCACCAGAATCACAGATCAGGTCAGTGTCCTTGCCTCACCTCCATCCATGTGGCTAAGCAATCCAGGTATTTATCTGTTTGCTTTCTGCTTGCTCTCTTTCCATCAGTCATACCAGTTGTTACCAAATTCTCAAGCCTCTTTCATCTTATAACATTTCTGACAACACAGATGAATCGCTCATCTTCTACCTTGGGTTGTAGAGGTTTTCCAGAGAGATCGCCAGACTATCAGCTAGAGGTTTTCCAGAGAGATCGCCAGACTTCTTTGTCAGCAGTTTTCTTTCTGGCATTGTTCCATTCCAGTCTTATGTCACTCAGAGACTCGGATGTAGTCTTTCCAGCGGACCCTGGGTCTACGTCTATTTCTAGAGCCTAAAATGTATGTGTATTAGATTATGCATGCTGTGATTCCATGACTTCTATCAATAAGGTTTACATAAAAGTATGAAGTCAACTTAGCTTTAGAAAAACCATTTGCTTTGAAGGAAAACTCTGCTAAAGGCTATTTTTAGTTAATATATTCACACCATGACCTGATACAAATTTGCAAAATCATGAAAATAGCCAAAAGCATTAACTAAAAAAGCGAGAACAAAAACATTAAGGACGCTTTTCTTTACCTTCAGATATATTTGGTATGTAGGGCTAGACGTAAAATTTATAGACCAACTGGCACTCAGTGGGTGATCACACTGGCCACCCTTACTTCCCAGGACTGTAACTGGTACCCATTAAAGACTGGGTGGACTTGGGAGCCAAGGTCATTTTTGAAAACAGTCTGGCTCCATCAGCACCTGCACCCATGACCTTCTGATCCGTAGGTGAGCGTAGCATAAACTATTTGCCTCGTAAATATGTCACTATAGACTGGTCGGAAAAAGTGACATTTATGAGGACTTGATCCCAACTGGAATTGTCAGTTCTGCAGCCTCTTTGGGTTACAGAGTTAACATGAACACATTTTTGAATATTTTGTATTGGATGCAGGGATGTATTGTTAATAGTCTCTGGTTAGTACACAGTTTTATAACATGAACTTGATTTTCGTTTCTCTAAAATTCATGTTAATGAGGTTTTACTCTTTGTGTGTGTGTATATGTATGTATAGAGAGAGAGAGAGAGACAGTAAATTTGTCAATGCATAGTTTCAGACAAACAGTTTTACTTTGAATGTGAAGGAGAAGTGGACCTAGAAGAACTAGATGACGCCATTGATGTGGACTGTCCAGCCGAGCGTGATGATAAAGAGCATGAACTTATTGGTGTCGCAGAAACTTTGGGATCTGCAGCTGATTTATATTATAGAGAGCAAGCAATTAAAGGTATGTAATTTATTTGTTAACTGGTACCTGAGTAGAACAGTGTTTCTCAACCTTTTGACACCCGTGGCCCACCAAAGCAGGATAACCAAACAAGAAACAAAACAAAATGTAGATAACTGTCTGTGTGTTAAATCCAATGTATTCATGAGTCAGTTTTTCTTGATAAATTTGCACACTGTGGTCTTCGAGCACACCTGTACAGGATAGGCATAAAAGAATCTGCTGCCTGTGATTGTGGAGCAGAAAGACAGACCCCTGAGCACATACTGCAGTACTGCCCTTACCTCTTCCAGCAAAGACTGTGGATCTGGCCCATTGCGAGAGAAGCTATGGGGGACCGGTGGCGACCTTAAACGCACAATCCTATTTTTGACCCAGATGGGACTCAATGTGTAGCATGACTGATGTCGAACGCAGAAGAAGAAGATAAATTTGCATTTAACCTAATTTTTTTTTTTTTTAATCTGTCCATGGCATTGTCATCCTTCTTCTATGAAATTACACCTCTGCAGCTTCCACATAATTTCTCTCTAATCTGCTGAGTAACCAACCTATCTGGGCTGAAATGTAAGTCAAGATGAGGAAACTGATAGGGAAATTAAAATATGAATACAAAAGGTAAGAGGAGTTTTCACAGCGCTAGGAAATTTGAGGAAGTCAACGAAAATTAAAACTAATACTCAACTTAAAATATTTTACCATAATGTTAAATCAATACTTCTGCGTGGAGTGGAATCATAGAGAACAACTAAAATAGTTACTTATAAATAACAGACATTCATTAAGTGGTGCTTTTGAAGAACAGAGGAAATTAAATTGCATGATAGAATCACCAATGTCGAGCTGTGGAAGAGAACTAAATTGAATCAGGAGGTGAAAAAAACAATGCTGGCTTAAGAAAAACACATCTTGAGAAAATCTAAGAACAGCATAATTAGGACTTTAAGTGGAACCCACAAGGGCATTAAATAAAGGCAGACAAAAAGACATAGAGAAGGAGAAGGAAACTAGAGGATGTAGTTAACAAGACGGAAAAGATTTGGGGTAAGCTGACTGTAATAGTAAAGGTTAGGATAACTTAGCATAAGTAAGTTGAGGGCCTATGCTTCACTGGAGGATAGAGGTCAGAAGGAGAAGAATGTACTGACTGTAAAGTATCCATTTCCATACATATGGTTTGACAGTATATAGCTCTCAAGAACTTGCCTTCTCACCTTACCTAAAACAATAATATCTTAGTGGATAGGAAGAAGGCTAATTGTGTCTACTGTTTAATTTCCAGCACAAGAAACACTGGTGCAAGACATTGTGGATTATATCAGAAGTAAAGGAGATCCCATGAAAAGTAAAGTACAGATATTTATTTTAATTGTGAGCCTTGCCAAATTACAAAGGCATTCATGTCATTCCACAGAGCTCCATCTTTGGTGTTTAGGAACGAGTCAGTTGGTGATATTTTTCCATACCAGTGGCTTAGACCAGCTGGCATCAATTCTTCTGATCTGCCACTGATTCATCGACCATTGTCGAATGTTTTTGAATACCTCTCCTTTTTGATGACCTCTCAATGTGGGTTTCGGTGCCCCGTTTTAGGGAGAAAAAAAATTAATCTACTGTCCCCTAACAAGCATATCCTAAAATGTGACTAATTAGAAGGTTGTTGAAATTTGATCTATTGCACCAAAAGGTGTAGATACCGTAACCTGGCTGAAAACCACTGGACAATGTGTTGACTGCCCTTTTAAGGGCACACACAGTAGAAGTTATATAGGCGAATAATAATGTTCGTCTCTTTTGTATAACTGCATATAATGTTCCGCTTTCATGAGCCAATTTCAGGCAATTAACCTTGGTGGCAAGCTTAGGTATATACTCATTAACTCTTTTGGTTCCAGGCAGTGCACCATGTGTGATAAACTCGTTCTCATGAAATCCAAACATTGCGCAATATATTCTGTTACTTTTTGCTTTGGTCATAGAATACTAAAGAAATCTGGCATTCCAAATTGCCTCTTTAAAATTTGTATAATCGTGATTTTTCATACTGCTGCGAAAAGTTCTGGGACTGAAAGCGTCAAAAAAAAAAAAAAAAAAAGCAATGTCAATTACCATTTCTCCATGTACAGTTAGAATTGATTGTATTCATTTGGTAAAAATTAATAAATTCAAATATCTGATAAATCAGAGATAATGTGAATCACAGAAATCAAGAACAGAATGTGACAGGCAGAATTTGCATTTTATGGGGGGAAAAAAACATCTTTTGCAATAAATACCTGATATTGGAGGTTAAAGAAATAGTTCTTGCATCCTAAATAGAACCAGTATTAAAATATAAGTGTAAATCATATACAGAAATACTACAGGGAAGTTCTTGATACTCCAGAGATGATGTGGTTCTACAGAAGAATGCTGGAAATTTCTTGGGCAGCCAAAATAGTTAATATAAATGTTTTGAAGTAGGTCAAAGAACAAAGACAACTTATCACAAACATAAAAAAGAGGCTGTCAGTGAATTTGGCCATATTATGAGTCGAGAAAAACTAGTGGGGTGATAAATGAAGACAGGAAGAGAATGCTTTTTTTTGTCATGTGGTGAAAAAAAAGATATCAACACATGAAGCACAAGCATGTGTAGATCACAAGATATTTGTGACTTCTTATCCATATCAGTTGGTGTCTGTGGCTTAGGCGTTGTGAACGCACTTCGTAATGCCTGGTTGCCGGGTGTGATTCCAGCTGCAGGCCCTGTGCCTTACGTTGGTTTCGACAGTGGTATCGTGAAGCTGACCGTCCAGAAAGCACTAGCAAACCAATGGACGTAAATTTGCCTGGAAAAACCGAAACAATACTGGGGTAGGTTCTGCAACGTCCTGTAAAGGATACGCAACTAACTTGATCAATTTCAACATCTTAGCACATCAGTCTGACTAATTCGTGTTCCATTCTCTGATGCAGCAGCCATCTCAGCATCTCCACACTCACCGTACACCCGGGGCATTCCCATAAGCGCTCTGTCCCCATCTTCAGCAGCCAGTGAAGAGTTCTGATACTAATGATGCCAGTAGCATTCTGATTAAACGTCCATCTTGTCTTTCCTCTGAGCCTCAACCATTTGCCAGAACCTCTCATCCCTCTCCCCCCCCCCCCCCCGCATCAATCTCACCAGACTTTGGTGATCCATCTGCTCCTCCAAACTGTACACGCTTTCTCACAAAGCACTAACCACGTCTGCCTTATCATGTATCAGTATTCCACCAAGTTGTGCAGAGCCAGCCAGTCTGTCCGCCTCTTTATTTCCCAACCAGCGGAAAGCTGCAGTGACCGCCTCTACCTCCTTTCAGACTTCTGAAGACGTGCTGAGAAAGGTGAAGACAGGGATGCTTTGTGCAGAAGAGCAAGCTTCACTGGGAAGGTCACAGGTAGTGAGCATACTTTGGATCTTTTCTCCAGGCCATGATGGCGTAGTGGGCAATAAAAATGCGGACTGGCTGGATCTGCACCATTGGGTGGTAAATTGATACATGACAAGGCAGATGTGGTCAAGGCCCTTTGGGAACAAGCAAAGAAATCAGTAGAGAAACAAGATTATAATTCCCTGGAGACAATGAGGCACCTGGGTGTAACTAGAGGGTCTGGCTGGCTCACTACACTCAGAGGAAAGGCAAGACGGACATATAACCAGATAGTGACTAGTACCATCAGTATTGGAACTCTGTGCTGGCTGCTAAAGATGAGGACGGAGCACACATGGGAATGCCTCAAGTGCTGTGATGTCAGTTCTTGACTCAGCCCAACTCCTGCAGCAAATATCTTGAGGTGTAGAGTATAGTAGATGCTAATGGTTCAATTATCACACTAGTTGTACACACACAAAATAAACACATGATAGGAGAATGATATCTTCTTCTTCTTCGGGTTCACCAGCTGTACACTCTGGCGGAAAGTTCTGGTTGCTCGTCCACTACTGAACTGCAGTCCTGCTCCAGAACCTGAGTGTTGCATGTGCATCAGTTTTACAGATCTCATTCTCTTGAATACAGACTGTTGGTTCCTTGCCTCTCCGGCAGATGCACTCCGACTTCAAAGGAAGCTCCCCAATCAGTCGACTCTTACGACATGCTTTTGGGGAGGCAGTGGGTCTATTCTTGTTTTCCCCACAATGGGGCCCCGGAACTGACACAGGGGGAGGGGGGGGGGAAATGATATAATACAGCTAATAAATTATAAATAAATATTGGGAAACGCAGTTGTCATGTTTATTGTGTTATTATTTTGCATATTTCTTACTTCTTTTCTTTTTTTTTCCGATTGACCTCATTGATGTATTAGGGGGAAAGATGTAATGATCTTCTATGTCCTCTTTCTAATGTGTTACATTAGTTGATCTTCATTTATTGTAGGCTGTTCTTGATGCTGTTGTTTCCTGTTTTGCATGGTCTTCCTCTTGCTCTGTGTTTGAATGCTGAAGAAATTACAACAAAAAAATGTATTTGTGTTACATTGTATTTTATTTATCTTTATTTGTTTTACATGCTTCTCTTTTGTGTGGACAGTTCCGCTGCTGCCAAGTGACGAAATATTTCAAGTAAGTTATGTAGTCAAGAAACCATTGTGGTTAGTATGCTTGCCTGCTGAGACAATTGGTCAGGTTCAACCCTAAAAACAGAAGCAAGATTTTTCCCTGCAAGCATAGCTTTGGGATAAACCTTACCTTATAACTATGTGTACTAGATAATTTCCAGAAATTCTAGAAATTGTCTTTGAAGGAAAGTTGAAGAGGAAGTCTTTTCTTTCTCTCTCTTCTTCTTAGCACTGACTTCGCATTAGCAAACACTCATAAAGTTTTAATTGTTCATCTACCTCTGGACTTTGGTCTTGTTTCAGAACTTGACATTTGTGTGTGCATCAGTTTTACAGATCTAACTCATTTGTATACAGATTTATGGTTGGTTGCCTCTCCGGCAGATGCACTTCAACTTAGAAGGAAACAGACTAATTAAGTTACTTTTTTTTTTACATTCGTGGGGGGGGGGGGGGGGGGGGGGGGGGGGGGGGGGGGGGGGCCACAGTTGATCTATTCTTTTCAATTCCCCCCACCCCCCTTAAGATGGGGTCTCGAACCCACATGAAAGGGCTCCAACAACATAACAATGCATTAGATTGAACTCCTTTGGTACTTAGTAACTTTTGTGTTTACATTGTATTAATCCAAACACAGTGTACATGTCAGACTCTTTTGTTGCAGATAGTTGTTTCATTAACTTATCACAGTTTTTTAGTTTTACTTCTTCACCCCGTAGAATTATTATTTAAATTACTTTAGACACAAACCCTCATGTGAGTTCTAGGGTTCCATTTTGAAGGGGAAAAGAACAGGCCCACTTAAAGTCATCGTGCATCTGCCTAAGAGGTGAGAAACCAATACTCTGCATACAAATAAGCCAAAATGTTTAAAACTGATGTGCACACAAAATTCAAGTTCTGGAAGAAGAACAAGTCCAGGAGAGGGTGAACAACCAGAACTTGCTGGTGAAACTAAGGAGGACACCAATTCTGGGATAAAGATAATCATGGGACTGGTAACTAAAAAAAGTTTAGAATTAAAACTCAAGTCTTAAAAAGGATTGACCAACCTACTCTACAATGATTGACCTCCCTTGCTTTGTTTTTCCCAACAACAGATGTTTCTATTCTATGGCTTCTGTTAACTCTTAGAGTCCCAAGGAACGCATCATACGTTCATATGTCGCGCCTAGAGGCCCAATGAACGCAAGATGTGCTGATTTTACATCTCTCTTGACTACCCCTTGGGCCTCTGATGCTAAACCCTCTGGGACTCAAAGAGTTAATACACACATATTATTTGTCTTTTTCAAATGGCTTTGTTATCTAGAGGATTCACCATCTAAACAGTAAATTCTACCTCTGCTTCTCTTGCCTCTAATTTTATACATACGTCTGATTTCTTTATAACAGCTCTTCTGTTATCATACCCCATAAATGTTTTTTATATAAATATTATTTTTCTTCATAAGGCTAATTTCTATATTCCATATCTGTTATTAACTCATTCCATCCCTAAAAACTCATCAATCATTTAAAGAGGAATCCTTGCATGATACACTTTTGTGAGCTCCTTGTGTCTTTTCCAGTTGTCACATTAACCCCACTCAGTTCTTCATGTTATTTTAGCTTATTCTGTTCAGTAGTGTTATTTCCAAACTCCTTTACAAGCAGCCATTACTAATTTAAACTGATATTTATTTTGAATAAAAGGAATAGAAGTAAAACTTTTATACTGAAAAAGTTAATTTGCATCATAAATTGTATTTGTCTTTTAAAGAAAATGTAAATAATTGGGACACAAACAATACATTGCATAATTAAATTCCAGCTATATTTCACTGTATCTCATCAGGTGCATTCTTACAGAGTTTCAACAAATGTATAATGAAGCACGGAAAGTGAAATTGTTCCAGTAAACAAATCATATGTCTTTTCTAAGATGCATTGCTCCTCTTATAGCAAAAGTTTATGATAGTCACGTGAATTACCAGGGTAAATTCAAATTTATAATGAGCTCTTTCTGTTTGCGCAAGTGGAAATTGTTAATTTTTATTGTTAAAGCTTCATCTAGTCTTAGCATTCACCTGTTCAGTGTGTGGTAAAAAACATAAAAGGGAAGGCCCTTGTTGATTAAATGTCTTGAATCAAGCAACTGACATCCTATTCAAAAGAGCTGTGTTCTTTCCTCTTGATTGGTGTTGTCACCCTCGCAGGATCACTCAGCTGCACATGGCGACATTAAGATATATGTTTTGTCACTGTGTTTTCAAGTTATCTCTCAGTTTAACTAATGTAAGTTTTCTGGCAGCTGCATGTAAATTGATAAGTACAGTTGGATTAAGTGTCTGGAGACACTAGCACTTAAACAGGTGGAGGTTGGGATGAGAGTGGTCTTTTATCTCACCATTGGAACAGCTGAAAAAAATGTTTGGCCAGCAGTTGTTTTTAATCGGTCTAGCATTCCCTCTAAAAGTTAATTGGATAAATACATTATATACATTGATGTAACTCTGCAGTAATTTATGTGATACATTTATGTGAATGCAAAATGTGCCTGGTAATAAGTTGTGCAATGAAATTGTTTGTATCTGCAATTATTTTAATTCACTATAAAAACACAACTAATTTTGAAATTTTTAAAGCTTTGAAGAATTACTCCTGATGAGCTTTTTTTATGGCTATATATATGTGTGTGTGTTTGCATATATATATATATAAATGCGAAGCGGCCGGCTGAGCGGTTACAACATTGAGCTCTCATGTGGGAGACCTACGTTTGGCCCCTGGTAAGATAATGGATGTTTTTCTGTCTGGGGCAAAAATAAACTTGTGCAGTCCGTGGTGATATCACAAGCCATGCGGCCCTAAATCCTCAGGCTTGCTCTCCCCCCCCCCCTCCCCTTCTAATCTAAAAGTAAAGTAAGTAACGATCCCTTTTCACGCCTTGAGGTGCATCGGGCATACGGGAAGAGCACCCATTTTTTTTACAAACCAATCTGCACTAAATGGGTAATGTGGTCAGCATTACGTCGGCTGTCTTTACTTCCTCAGGACATACATCCTGGTACCCATTTTAGGCTAGGTAGGCCTGCGATGCACAATACCACGATTAAAAATCCATGCAGCCAGCAGTGGGTTTTGATCGCGGTACGTTGGAGTTGAGTCAGACTCGCAACACCTAAGCCACGGACGCTCCCCCCCCCCCCCCCCCCCCCCCATCTACAATGCCCGAAGAAGCAGTAGATACAGACGGTAACAGTTTTATACACAACAATACAACATACATTCTTTTCTATTACTATTTGCAGATTGATGTTATGGCAGCCTGTACAGTCATTTCCGGTTTAAACTGGAAGACTTCCTAGGTTTGGGCGAGGATTTCAGCAAGATAGCTCTTGTGTCACATGTCGCCAAGGGAGTCGCAGGAGGTTTAAAAGACTCCCCGTCTGACTTAATCCATCTTGTAACATGTTTAACCACTAAATTCATTGCTGACAAGTATGGTGACTTTCTCCTGCGGAAAGGTGGACTGGTGAGTACTTCTGCTAAAGTGTCCGTGTTTCTCCAGCATGTTTGTGTTGGTTGAACCCACTCATTATAGTCAGTACTATGTGTCATTGGTAATCATATGTGTTCATAGATTACTGATTTAAAAATCGACATCATAGCTCTCCTGGCATACTCATAGATGCTCTGTTTCCTGCAGCAGATGTCTGTAGGTGCTAACTCTTTCCTGCAGCAGATGTCTGTAGGTGCTAACTCTTTCCTGCAGCAGATGTCTGTAGGTGCTAACTCTTTCCTGCAGCAGATGTCTGTAGGTGCTAACTCTTTCTTGCAGCACACTGATTATACACAAATCATATACTTCCTCTCATGTACTGCTCTTTGTTGGATCTACTCTTAATTCCATGTTCACATACTCTTACACATGTTATTGTATCTTACAGCATGTCTTCTGTTAGCATTCGTTCATAAATTGTCTTCAGAATGTTTAATTTGTCCAGCACAAGTGTTCTTATAGCTATCGCTTTAGTAGTCAATACAATCAGCTCTTTTATTCCATCGCGCTCCTGCTTATCCCACTGCTTTCTGTCTAGTGATCTTTCAATCATATCTTGTACAAATGTGTAGAGATTCTGGAAGATATTCAATACTGAGAGGGAAACATAAGCAGGCATTTTAATCAGACAGCAACTAGTTCTATTTGCATATTCATTCACTGTGAGGTAGCAGACGAGGCACGTGTGGGAATATCCAGAGTGCATTGTTTATTCTTGATTCATTCATTGAGAAATAAATCCACCTCGATGTGGATTTGAACCCTTGACCTTCAAGCCTGTAAACAAGCATCTGTCTGGTAGGTTCTGTAGGACAATTTGAGATTTTTTGCTTTTGCTCAATAAAATATACTGGTATCATCTGCTGTTTATGAGTGAAAGGGGTATGCTGCAGGATTATCCACTTCTGATCTATGAGCCTGTTATTTTTCTTCTCTACTCAGTGGCTATAAGCTGCAGCAAAAGTCCTGGTTGTTCATCCATTTGTGTCAGGGTCTGAATTTTTCACGTACAGCCGTTTTACTGGTTTATTTGTGTGTAGTTGTTTGTTTCTTGCCACTCAACCAGATGCACTCAGAGAGTTCAAAGGAAGTTCCCAATTAGTCGACTGCTTGTTGGGGAGGCAGTGGGTCTATTCATGTTTTCCTCCACAAGGGGGCGCCTGTATATTGATGAAATGGTTATGCTAAGCAGTGGTCCATTCCTCATCAGACATTGTTTTTTAAAGTAACTTCAGACTGCTCGTCTCACCTTATAAAAGTACACGCTGACATTAACACATACAGAAGACTCTGGACCTGGGGACTGCCAGATTTTGTTTTAAATTGTCAGATTTTATATAGTAATATATCCTATATATATTTAACAGAAAATAACTACCTCTACAGCCTTTAAAGGAAGGAGAAATTTAACACCAAGTAAATAAACAAAAGAAATTGTAATGCTTTCCAATTAAATAAAAGAGTTGGACTAAATAACATAGTTCCTCAGAATATTAATAAGAAAAACATGATTTTCAGAATTTCAATCCAACTAAATAAAATAGTGCCTCCTGCCATAAATCTGAAGCAATGAGATTATCGATAGCCAGATTATTTAATGTAAGCCTGTATACTGGTTTGTTTTGTGAATACTGAGCTTATCACAATTTTATACATTTGCCTTGCTAGTCTATGTTATGGCATATACATATACCTCCTAATCAATTTTTGTGTCTGCTTTTTATCACACCAGTGCAAGCTCGTACTGGATTCATCAGTTGACTGACCAGAGGCCACAGTAGTCAACACTGTTTGTAGATTACTGTAAAAAAATCACCATGATGTGCCATTATTTAAGTAGATACTGATGACGTAATCATATCCTGAGAAGGAGAAAACTTGAGTGCATCGTAACAGTGGGAAGTTAAAAGGGAAAAGAGGCAAAGGAAAACTGACAGAAGGTCTGGACAGTCTGACATTATGACATTGTGTCAGAACTTATTGAAAGTACACAAGATAAGATGTTGCGGATAGACATGGCTACCAACGCCATACAAGGCAGACCATGAAAATAAAGAAAATATAATCTTATCGGGAAACAACACAGTAACAGTACATGGGTTAAGTATGACAACTACAAAAGTTATAAGAAAATAAAATGCTACACATTATTATGAGTTTTCTTCAACAAGATATGAATAATGAAGATATCTGGCTAATAAACAGCACCATATTTTGGAAACTGAAAACTTCTTTGTATTAAAATCTATGCCCTTTGGCGTTGGTAGTCATGTCTATCCACAACCTTCTGTCTTGTGAACTTTCAGTCAACTCTGAGACAGATGATCCTTCATGTCATACTATCCAACATCTTTTTTCTTGGTCTCCCTATATGTCTCCTCTCCTCTAACTTTCCAACTGTCACTATGTCTTCTCCTTCTCATCACATGACTAAATAATGTAGATTGTCTCTTTCTGATTTGGGCAATCAGTTCACTTTGTAAGTGATGTTTCTTTCAAGTAGGGCTGTACCGAATAGTGATTTTCACTATTCGGCCGAATACGAATAGCTGGACCAACTATTCGGCCGAATACGAATAGTGAATCATCACCATCATGTGCTTTGCCGGCTGGAATGGGTGATTATGCCTCGCCACAATCTGCGATCTCCTGCAGCACATATTAATTTGTGTGCTGACACACCTCCATGAAAAACCTTCGTTCCATGTTGTCAGCATTAGGGCAGCTTTTTTTTTCTCACTGAATATATTTCCAGCTGTACTAAACAGGAAAATACGACAAATACAGAGAGTCAAGATAAAAACCCGCAAGGCGAAACATCAAAAACAAAAATAACGCCGACGAAGAAAACAATGTTGTCCTCACAAAGTCGCCCAGTCCCCCCCCACCCCCCCCCCCCCCCCCCCTCGAGCTCAAGGATTCAACAGATAGCGACATCAAAGACCACCGCGGCCACAGAGACGGACAACGCCGAGCAGCCAACACCAGAAGATCAAACAACAAAGACAACGAAGAAACCGAACGTCGATCAAAACATTCAGCCGCTGCCGTTTCCACCAGACGACGAAAGAACAGTTACGACACCCTTAAATGATGACGAACTTCCGTTACTTCAAACAATCAACGAAGAGGACTCTCCACTCAAAGAAATCAAGCCGACAACACTAGAACACTTGCTTTTCTGCCCTTCTTACATCTTTAAGTGTTGCATTTTGTTTCTACAGCAACACACCTAAAAACACTATACTCGCAACACATACAAGATGGAAATAAATGGGCACTTGGTACGCTCGTAGGTGGTGCACAAAGATAACGCTTGACAGTATAAACCAAGGTGGGAAATCTTGATGTTTTTTTTTCAACCAGTCCAGAAACGGTTGTAACCACTATTCGTATTCGGCCCGACCTCAACTATTCGGCAGAATACCGAATAGTTATTGGGTCCACTATTCAGCCCCGAAGCGAATACGAAATGAATATTCGGTACAGCCCTACTTTCAAGACATCTTCATTATCTTTTTAATCTGAAAACTTAGGCTGTGTCAAATGCTGCAGTGGTTTAGAAGGAACAGTAATCTTCTTTGCCGTCTCCGGCTGTACACTGCGGCAGAAAGTTCTGGTTGTTCCAAAAACCTCCGGACTTTAGTCCAGAACCTCAGTGTGGCATGTACATCCATCCATTAACAGATCAGACTTATTTGTATGCAGACTGTTGGTTCCTTGTCTCTCAGGCAGATGCAGTCTTGACTTTGACAGAAACCACTAATTAGTAGACTCCTCTAAATGTGTGTTAGAAAAGCAGTGGGTTTGTTCTTGCTGTTTCCCCAAATGGGCCCTAGAACTCACACAGGGATGAACATTTATAGAAAGCAGTAGCACCTATTGAGGCCCACAGCCCTAAAAAATGTGTGTCTGTCTACCTTCACCCCGCCAGTACAGAAGTTTTTCTCTATCCCTTTTGCCTCGGAGAGCACAAACAAACATGGATCATGACCCCATTAAAATTCCAGTAAATATCCATTTAAAAAAACAACTTGCAAGGTCACTAATAGTTATCAAAAATAATTGTTATCTACATTTTTAAATATTTTATTGAAATATATGAATAAAGTCATCAAGAAACATGAACAGGTTAAAGCATACTATAGAATACATGCTAAATAACATGTGTATTAGACTCATGATGCAGCCTTTATCACTGAGGCTTACGCAAAACTCTGAGGTCAACGTGGCATTAAAAAAGCTTTTTAGCTTAAAATCTACCCCTCAAATGTTGTTGTTACCTAATTAATTCATATCCTGACCTCACAAATGTTTGTGCAGGTGTGAAAACAGCCAACAACATTAACTATGACTGGTAAACCGTTCAAAAATGGAATCAACAGAAAAGTTACATCTATAGAAGTGTTGGTTTTTCAGGTTCTCAGGGTGTGTATTTCATATTATGTCATATATAATATTGAATTTAACTGCCATTCAGCAGCGCATAACAGTAGTCATCATTACACACTTAAACAAGGCTTACACTAACCCCCCAACCCATCCTACCCCAAAATTTCAAGGGTTCTGAGAGCCAAATCTTTTCTTTGTGTCTGACTTTGGAGACTGAGCATTGAGAAAACTGTTGTGATAAACAAAAATACACTACCTGAGCATTTAGAAAACTGCTGTTATAAACAAGTACACAACCTAAGCATTGAGAGTACTGTTGTTATAAACAACGAATACACAACCTAAGCATTGAGAGTACTGTTGTTATAAACAACGAATACACAACCTAAGCATTGAGAGTACTGTTGTTATAAA